TCATTGTCATTCTTTTTTTTAATTTATTTATTTTGAATTCTTTAATGTTACCACATATTTGACCCCCTTTACCTCATCTACTTCTCCCCTCCTCTCTCCCCCTCTTACCCTCTGGTAACCACTAGTTTATTGTCCATGTCCATGGGCAGTATCTGTTTGTTTGTCCTGTTCGTTTGCTGCTTTTAGGTTTATATCCCACATATAAGTGATATTACGTGGTTTTCAACTTTTTCTGTCTGGCTCATCGTCATTCTTAACTGCTAAGTTTAATAGTTAAAAAAACAACTGGTAGAGTATAGATACTACCAAATATAATGTAACTACATTGTATCAGCCAGATATTTTGAACTGTGAATTTACTATGAACTTTGGTATGTTCCATGTCAAAGTGACACTGGACAAATAAGAATCTTTAGAACCAGACTTTTTTGAGTAATGCCAGGCAAAAATTCTGATGGAGGAAAAAGATACAAACATAAATATGTCAACATATTTTCCCCCTATTTATAACTTTTAAAATATTTTAATTAATTGCTTGAAAAAATAATCTAGCTGGAATAAGAGCCATTTTTTTCTTCTACCCACATGGCAAATCTAATTTTCTTTCTAACCATTTCACATCAGTGGCCTCCTTTTGCGTGATACATCATTCTCCTGTAATTTCTGAATTTCTGTTAGTTTGTTGTTGGCAGGGATAAGGTCGGAAATAATATGGACTTTCCATTGAAATCTGTTCTCCCTCACTCAATGAGAGGAAGCGAAGGCATGAATATGGCACCCTCATAATGATTTAGCTAGGGCTTAATGAAATTTTCATCACAACCTGCTGTTCATTTTAATGGCCTTTGAAAAACAATGGGAAAAAATAGCTTGAGGGAAGAAAAGATTTTTCTGTGGCACATAATTGTGAGCTTAACTTTTAGTTCTATTCGCCCTACCCTGCTTCCTTCATGCCCATAATTCTGCTCTCATTACAGAGTTATAACAATGTTCTGTAGGTTTTTGATTACACAGTTTGCAAGTCTTTTGTTAAATTTATTCCTAAGTATTTTATTTTGATGCTATAGTACATCACAGAGCTACAGAGTATTATTATTTTTTTTGTACTATATACAGTGTCACTGTCCTGATGTGTCCTGATGCTTGAATACTGCCAGGTTTTGGTGTCCATTCTCATGTCCAAATTTACCCTTTGATTAATGGACTTTTTATAATAAAGTTAGTACAACTTTCCAGTTGCTGTTGAGATTTTTATATATCTCCCTAGATATATTTCCCCATTTTCACTCTTTACAGTAAAAAAAAAAAAAAAAAGGAAATTTCCTTCAACATCCTATTGCTTTTCTACAGTACAATTTTCTGCTTTGTTATTTTTTTTTTTTTGGTGATTAAGATAGTCATGTTACTCAAATACAGAAATTGCTCCTTGATAAATCTCTCAATTGTAACAATTATTAAATAAACATTCTTGCCATGACAAATATCTTTACCAGTAAAAGTGAGTCTATTGACATTTCTGCGTACTCGGAGCACATCTAGGAATCTTCTGTGCATAAACATAAAATGTATCTTAGTGGATCTACAGTCATGCAGAAATTATCTTTCTGGAACTCAGGCTTTCAGATATTTGCCATGTTCAATTTATATTTTAGTTTTCCATAAAGCTCTCTCCGTATTTTCTCAATATCTTTATATGAATCTATAACAAGTCATTCTTGAGCTAAGCTTTTATATTTGTAGGAGAAAAAGTACAAAAAAATTGTGGTAAATACAATAATGAAAATAGCCTACTGTACATATGCAATAGTAATCTTTCTTCCTTCTCTGTCAGCTCTTCCTTCTATGGATGTTCTATTTCTGTTCTTTTGCCTGGGTAGCTGTTATTAAATATTATGCTTTTATCCTAATTCCCAATACCTCTGAATGTCTCCTGCTAAGCATATTAGGGAGGAGGGGTACACTGTGTCTTGCCCTCTTTCCTGTTGGGAATTATTCATTTGGCTTTGCCTTGTCATATACTTCCAAATTAAGAGTCAGTGCATCCACTTGGAAGGAAGCCAATGTGATACATTGGGGGAATGAATACCAAGGTCATACACCAAATTTCCATGGAGGACATCGTCTAAAGATAAATTTCCCAAAACCGCTTTGTAACACAATACACTCCACCACAATGTTGGTTTGTCCTAGGCCTTAGTCCTGGATCAGGAATACATCTCAAACAAAAATTAAAAATTAGCATGCGAGGGAAAGACTTCTTAACTCATAACATAAAGCCAACATTAACCTAACACCAATCAGATAAATACATTACATAAAAATCTGTAGACCTGGAACAGGGAATATACTTTTTATAAAGTAAGCATCTTATTATAAAGTAAGTACCAGTAGTAAAGAAGTGCTCAAAAAAACAAAACAAAACAAAACAAAAAACCCCATGGTGCTACATCAAAGTGACACAGAAGTCAATGGAAAGTGCTTCCAATTGTTAAAGTTGAACCAATTTGAGCAATAAAATAAAGTAGATTGGATTATAATTCAAAGTATAAAATAAATATCCACAAGTACATATTTATATAAATAAATAACTGAATAAATTAATAAATGGTGAAGAAGAGGAAAATCATCATGGATAAAAATTCCAAATAAATTATGTAGATAGTCCACCTTAAAAAGGGGGAGCAAAGCTCCCTACTCTTTAAATGTGGGTTGCACATAGCACTTTCCTTCCAAAGACTGTGGATGGAGAGGGAATAGGAGGACTTTACAGTGGAGAAGTCTGAGAAAACATTCTATCAGCCAGCTGATCAAGGTCAACATCAATATTCATAAATCATGCAGAAAGTATGTAGCCTTGATATGATGTGACAAAAATGATATTTCACTTTTGTGGTCTTCCTCCCCAAGCCTGTAACCCCAATATAATAATGAGAAAATCACCAAATTTCAATAAAGGGGCATTCATTCTACAATATATCTGAACAGTATTCCTCAAAACTTTTAAAGTTATCAGAAACAAGAACAGTCTGAGAAACTGTCACAGCCAAAAAGGAGCCTGAGGAGACATGCCAACTAAATGTAATGTGTTATCCTTGAAGGCATCCTAGAACAGAAAAAGCACACTTGGTAAAAACAAAAATATTTGAATAAACTGTGGGCTTCAGCTAATATTCATGTATCAAAGCATAAAAGATGCAAAATAATTTTAACAACAGAAAGCTAGTCATACAAAATGAACAGAATAAGTAAAAGAAAGATAAAGAAATATATCATAAGTTTAAGAGGAGTAATATCAGAAATCGATGGTTTGGGGTAATTTTTATTTTCTTCTTTTTAATTTTTCTGCTTTATTTTAAAGCAATTCTTATAGTAAAACAAGAATTTTGAGATCAGAAAAAAATTCTAGCGTATTAAAAAAAAGTTGTCTAGGTCCTCCTCAAAACCCCATTTTTATCTCAATGCGGATGGGAGCCAAAAAGTCTTTGGCTGACTAGATTATCTCTAAAATTCCTTCCAACTGTAAGATCATGTGAATTACATAAATTTTAACTAAAATCCATATCCCAACTATGCATCTGGTAGGAACCCAGAAATTTTAATTGCCACATGACTCCCAAAATACTGGTTAACATACATTTTATGCCAGATATACTCATAATTTACCGGTGTCCTAAGAAAAGACTAGAAATGAGTGTTACATAGTATAAATGTGGTATATTTTTGGTATAAAGTATGTCTTTTTATGTCCTTGTTTTTTGTTTGTTTTAATTTTCCATCTGACTCTGAAATAGGAGGCATGTTCTTGTGTGCAAAGCATTATCCATGCTTAGGATGGACATAGGTTTAAATAGGATTTAGAAAACATCTATAACATAAAGGATGCCTGTCAGTTATGTATAAATTAACCAACTTCCATTGGTTATTTTATTAGTTTGTTTGCTTTAATTTTAAGATTAGTCCATGTGCGTATCACCCAAGGACTCCCACCAGTAACATTAAAAGAGATTTAGAAGATGATCATAAAAGAAAGGCATCCCGGAAGCTGAAGAACTGGGAACTTCAGCATAGCTAATAGAGTTAGATTATCACTTTTCATATATGTGATAGACCTAGCTATATTAATTCTGGACTATACAAAAAATAGTCCTAGCTATCAAGGTAGCATAAGATGCACTAATAAATAGATAGAGGTGATAAAATGTAACAAAGTTGTAAAACGGCCTTGGGGAAAAAGAATGGAGATGAACAAATCTGAGGACTGTAGATATTTGGCATGAGGTAGCAACTATTCTGGGCTCTGCTGCCACAGTCTAGGCTTTTTTTTTTTTTTAAACAATGAAACATTTTTATTAGCAGTTCTAATTTCACATTCTGTTAGTGCTTTAATGAACTAATGTGAAGACATACAACATATTTTTTAATTAATAATTGATTATTGAGATCACCTGCATATTATTATAGGCAATTCACTACTCACTCTGTTTTGCAATTCAAGACTGACCACAGGGGATTAAAAGGGAAATGGATGGATACTGATTAGACTGATGGCTGGACAAACTACTCAATGTTTGTGCCAAATCGTGATATGTCTATAATAACACCTTGAGAACACAGAGGAAACCACTCCAGTTACAAAGTGTTCTTTCCTTCCTGCAAACTGGGGAGCCCCTCCTGGGTAGAACTACTTCCTATTCACCTTGTAACCCCAGCCTCACACATAACAGGCACTTAATATGCCACATTCTATTCTTGAATCTTTAAATTTAACTCAACCACAACTCATGCATGTGTGAAAATAAGGAAGATGTCACAACAGAAATTAATGATTAAAAAATTGGAATATCCATATTTAAATGTTTCTGAAAAAAATACTACCCATCTTCATAACATTAGGTTTCTATTTTGTCCAATTTAAGTTAGAGAAGTCAAAAAAATAGGACTAGAGGTTAAAATCAAACTATTAAAATAAGGAGATGGCAACTTTGTTTTCAAGTCTTTACCTTCTGGCTCATTTTTGATGAGCTCTTCCATTTTCCTCTGCTTCAGGGTGTCAACAACATCAGCTAAGCTGCCTTTGCGCCGCTCAGGAGTGCCCAGGGCTGTACTAGACAAGGACTCGCCACTCTGTCGCCCACCTTCGTCTGCCTTCTGAGGTGAGGTAGATGAGTTGTGTGGGGCAAATGAAGACATAACTTTATTGCCATCAACTTCCTGAAAGAGAAAGTAAAGGAAAAAAAAAACTGTTTAAAATTCAGTACATTTTAAATTGGTTACGTGGCTTATTCAACTGAAACATTAAAAAGTGAAATGTCACTGTGCGAGAGCTAAAGGACGAAAGAAATTTCAAAAAAGAATATATTAACTTTACAGGCAAGCACTAAGAGTCAAAGACCAATTCATCGGAGTAATAAAACTATGGGGATTCTCTCCCTTAGGCTGAGTACAAATGGCAATACAACCTTATGCAAACTCTATATTGGTTAGATTCATTTATTTTTCTGCTTTTGTTTGAAATTTTCCTATTAACATTAAATGTAATGGCCATTTATATTCAGTGACATTGTAATACTTAAACGAATAACATAATATATACTTTAATTTTCATTTTAAGTTGCCACCTCTTCTTGATGGCACTCCTAATTAAAAGTGTCTTCTTTTGCTTCTCCACTTCCCTTTCATTCTTTTAAGAAAGCATCAGACACAAAGGTTGTTATGACATCAGATAGAATATTGAAAGTTCATTTCTGCCTATGCTGAAGATATTTCCAATTCCATTTGTTACCTCAAGCACTGTTTCTATCAATACCCTCTGCTATTTTGTACTTTCTCATTTGCCATATAAACTAAAGTTTCTTGAAATTTTTGCCTCTTCATAATTGTGTATGTGTATGAAAATAATTCAGTATGTAATTCTAAAATTTAAACACATTTTTGGTGTTCCTTTTTTCATTATTTCCTCATAATTCCTAGCACAACTCTAGCAATCTGTATAATATTTGGGGTATATTTTGTGTAAAAGGCACTAAATTGATTTTTCAGACAGTGTCAAGAGGAATGATATTGAAATGATGAAGAAAATATAATTTTCTTACTTTAAGGTTCTCTTTACTTCCATAATCTTTTACTTTCTTGCATAATCCTTTGACTTTCCACAAAGCAGAGCTCTTCTTAAAAAGAAATTTGTACCCTAAGATCTTTGAAATTAGTCTCCCCCTAAGTATATTTCTCAATTCCACATTATTAAAAGTTTCCATTCAAATATATTTGAGTTTGTGCATATTTAATATTCAGAAAAGATTATGTCCATGTTTACACATATCTGCTTAAGACATGTTAATAGAATCTGTTGACCCCATAAAAGTGACAAATCACACTGATTTGATATCTAATTTTTTAAGGCTAACACTAACATTTTTGACTAGCTTAAAAATATACAAAAAATACTTGATAAAACTGTCATTGCAATTTTTAAAAATAGATTAAAGATGGAGATGTCAACACAAATATAACCATAATTTGTTCATATGATTTTTTGTTAATAGATATTAGTGAGTACAAAGACATTTATTATGATACAAACATCAATTTGTTGGGTGGATGAAGCAAAAGTAAAAAATGTATGCTAACAGAATCCTTGAAATTATAATTCTAAACACCAAAATGGTTTCCATTTCTTACAAATATTATAGTATATTCTTCTGATGATGACTATGTTTTGAATGAATATTCTATGGACAATACTAATTCACAGATGAATCTTAGCTTATAATGTACTTGGATTTAGAAATCAATATACATAATGTACAATTATAAGCCCCTACAGGCCAAGTGAAGGTACACTTCTGCAATTATTTATTTAAAACCCACACATAAATACAAGTGAATGCATAAATGCACACATATACACACAGAGCAATCACAAATTCATTTAATAAACTAAAGGATTTTTTTTTTATGAATGGACCATAATACATGTTAGCTCAATTTAATGTGCAAAACAGAATACAGAAAAGCCTCAGTATTCATTTTCCACAGATCTTTCTTCTCATTTATTTCCAGGGTCAAAGGCAGAAACATCCCAGTGTTAGCTTTACTTTGAACACTTCTATTTTGGACTCTCTTTTCACATTATATGATGACAAACTTTACAAACAAGAATTTGGCAGCTGAACTTCACTTGCCATAATTGAAATTGCACACATCTTTCTATAGCATCATCAGCAGAGAGAATGGCACCTAAATTGTATGCAATCAAGTCTATTAAAATATCAGAAAATATTTCAAATTGAAATACAATAATATCCCATTTTGTATGTCTCTAATTTTCTACACCTTGCAAAGAAGAAGGACATGTTTTAAAGAGCATAGCATATTTCACAAGTATTCTAAACTCAGTTACCACAACAGGATACACACAGATTAATTAATTAAGCATTACTATTTCGCATAGTAATATTTATCTTATCACTCTTTCACCTGTCTGATTACATTTCAGCCTCTGGCACTGTTAAGACCTTTAACAGTTTTATGTACTTAACAGATGTTTCAGTGTGGGACTCCATTGTTCATTTGCATAGTGAATAGCTTATTAAGGAGTGCTGGCACAGTCTTCAATCAAGGAAGTCCTATGTTTTTCGGTTTCTTCCCTGGGATTGCATTTACCATACCTGAAGTAATGACTGCATGTTTCTCTTCACTCTTCTGGCAGGTGAACATCCAGAGAGACTATTAACAATGGCATTAGTGACATGAACCAGAAATAAATATTAAATCAAGTTTATAAACTCTAAGGACAAGCTTCAGTATTTTGCAGAAGAGCTCTCAGAATTGTGATGTATGACTTCTAAAGTCTAATGATAAAAACAGGGTTCTAAAATTTTTAAATGAGGATGATAATTTTTTTTATTCTTGAATAAGCTTTACTTAATCTTGTCTCCTTTGTCATCTTTGCAACCATGAAAGAAAGGAAAGGATCTGCATAATGTATCTATGCATCTATCTTCATTGAGTTATCTTTTTTAAAATGCACTTATTAATTCCAAAGACTACATTTTGCTATGAACACTTTGAGGGAAATATTATTTCAACCTTAATATTTGAATTTTAGTTTGGGTAATGTGATGATTAAAAAGAATGAACTCATTTGAAAAAATAGATTATATGTGACTCAACTATATATATATATATAT